AGGAGTGACCTGAATTGTAAGAGGAACAGAAGAAAAATACTGTTGTCGTTTTTCTGACACCACTATGTCAGGGGATGGATCGAAGGGCTTGTGGAAACCATTCCGGGTGCTAATTCAGACCTTCAGCCTGACCGTGACCCGAAGGTTATGACCCCGGCGTGGCCCCGCGTGGAGCTCCCTCCTGCAGCAGTCCCAGCTGACCCATCAGTTGGACAGAGGAAGGCGTCTTTGTTGGAATATCCGATCAGTAGGGATAATGATTCCCAGAGAAGGCTGCCCCCTCACTGTCACCTCCGACTTGGGGTTTCTGTGACGTGGAGTCATGTGTGAGAGGCGGTAGGACGGCCCAGTGAGGAAATTGGGGCGTGCTGGGCTTTGAGCTGATGCTCTATCCCTAACGTGAGCTCGTCACTGTGTCACTAACGTGCTTGCCATTCAGGAGGGCTTTGATGACAGACGGTGTGCCCATGAGCACATGTGCACTTCCTGGTGGCTGTTTCATGCAGAGTAACGTGGGTTTTGTCGCTGTGTTTTCAGCGTAGTCAGGCGGCAAAATCAGAATTGACACTTGAAAAAAATGGACAGAATTGAAAAAAATGCTAGCTTTGGTTTCACGGACTGCAGCCAAGATAGTTATTAGAACAATTTATTCAAATTAGAATATTTTTATTATAGGCAACCTGAACAGCTGTCCCTGGTCCTGGCAGGTCGTGACCCGTCTGAGCCACACGTTGGTGTTCTGCTCTCAGAGCTCCCTGGGCGGTGGGGGGGCCCTGCCACATTAGCACACTTCACTGCCCACCTTCTCTGGGGGGGGCGGGCGGTGGCTGACGCGGATTCCAGCTGATGGCACTAGAATTATGGAGAGAGACGCATGGTCCTGCTGTCCCAGTTGGCTGTAAGGACCGAGGTGACCCTGGCTGGCCTCTTGTTTTGAGAGCTGCCTGGCAGCTGTATCATGGGGAGGGCATAAAAGGGTTTCAGTAGCAACTTCGTCTAAGATGCCAGGAGCCCCACGTCCACGTGGGCCTCCAAGCATGTTAATTTCAGATGCCGTGTCCCATGCTGCCCAGCCCCCCATCCCTCCCTGGAGATGAAAATTAGAGCGCCAGATGGGCCCTCCCGAGGAGATGCAGCACAAGCCCACCCTCCAGCCTCTGAAAACACCCCTGCTTCTTTATTATGAGCTGCGGTTGTCATGGTGATGAGTGGTCAGAGAGAGTTAGAGAAGCTTTGGAGAGAAGTCGCCATTGGAAGCAGACCTGCGACCCCGCCTTGCCCGTGGTCACCACTTCCTGTGACCCCACACCAGGGTGTCCGATGGACGGGGTGGACGAGCATGAGGGCACAGGCACCCAGCCGAGCTGGGTCATGGGCCCCGGCCTGAAGCTTCCCAGCCCCTGGCCAAGTCCTAACCCTGTGTCCCCCAGAAGGAACACTGCTTCGATTTGCCAAAGGTGCCAGGCGAGAGCCTGTTTCCTACATCTACGCCCCCGCTCTGCCAGGAAAATCAGGTTCCAGCCCAAGCTGCGACATTCATAGAAGGGGTGTCTTCTTAGTCCGTTCAGGCTGCTGGAACAGAACACCACAGACTGGGTGGCTTGTAAACAACAGAAACTCATTTCTCACAGTTCTGGGGGCTGGAAGTCCAAGATCAAGGTGCCGGTAGATCCAGTGTGGTGACGGCTCACTTCCTGGTTCCTCGCTGTCTTCTCGCTTTGTCCTCACATGGCAGAAGGGTCTAGAAAACCCTCTGGGGTCTCTATAAGGGCACAGATCCCATTCGTGGGGGCTGTACCCTCATGACTTCATCTAATCACCTCCCAAATGCCCCACCTCGTAACACCATCACCTTGGGGGTTAAGTTGCAACATATGAACTTGAGGGGTGGACACAGACATTCAGTTTATAGTGGGTGTGGCTGATCCGTTTTCATTTGTCCATCTGTTGGTTTGTTTCTTTGGGTGTTTGGAGATTACCAGAGGCCGTTTAGCCCCCAGTGAGGCAGTGCAGGCCTTTAGGCAATGATACCTGTGCACTCAGCCGAGGGAAGGTCCCAGGTCAGATGTCTTTCAAACAAGAGGGTAAAGTACTGACGTGTTCTAAGGGGACCTTGGCATAGCGAGGGTCCCAGACAACAGATGGCTGTCCGGGGGATGTCCTGAATTAGTTTTACTTACAGTGGATGGGACAGTGTCTGAGGTCAGAGCCCCCATCGGACCCTTTGGGAGACGTCACCTGGCGTGTCTGGGCCATCGTGGGAAGTGCAGAGCCAGTGGGGCGCTGGGAAGTTACCTAGGAGTTCGTGGGACCCCTACAGAAGGGGCCAGCTAGGTGCAGCCTTGCAGGAAGGGGCACTGTCAGCTCAGCGTGGTAGGCACAGTCCACTGGGCAGGAGCCCCCGGGGGTTCAGAGCGCTCTTTTCTGGGGAAGGGTGGGTTCAGCGATGAGGAGGGAGAGCTGTGAGGATGGAGGAGCAAGCCAGCAGTCCTGGAACGCCACCTCGCGACATACTAGGACAGCGGGTGCAGTCAGGGCCCCCTGCGTGGTCTGAGAGCTCACGCTTCAGGGGTGGTGACAGTCCCTTGGGTTTCCAGCAGAGGCACTGGGGAAGGCAGGCACCAACCAGACATCTGGCCCGCCTGGGCCCCAGCTGCACCCTGCACCCCTCCACTCCAGGGAGGCTCATTTCTTCCTGCAGCTTGAGCCCTGGTTTCCCTCAGGATGTGGCGACACCTTCCCTTCTTCCTCTGTGTACAGATCATCCCCTTCCTTAAAGCCTAGCCCAGCATTTCCACCTCCCATCTGAGCCTCCCCCTCCATCCCCACCCCCCGCTGACACCCACTGGTGTTTATTGTCACGGAGGGGACACGCAGTTAGGAGTCTTTTGTCTGCCTGGTGACACTGCCTTGTGTATGACATTCCTGTTCCCCGCAGGGGCAGGAGAATGGGCCCAGGTCTGTTAATTTTTCTCTTACCTTCCCAGGGAGATTGAATTAAGGGACATGATGGTGTCAGTGTAGGACAGGGAAGAGGACAGGGAGGGACACCTTGCTGTGCCACCTAAGCCTGTGGGGACCTGGCCGTGAGCACCTCTGTCCTCTCACCTGTAAGGCGGGAGTGGGGATATCCATATCCATGCACGAAGGGGTGTTAGAAATAATGTAACTTATTTATTCACAAATAAATATGAGTATGTATGTATAATATGTATTTGTAATATAAATACAAACTTATTTATAAATGTAACTCATCATCGTCATCATCACATTGTTACTGCTTGATAATTTATTTCCAGAAAGTTCTGGAACTTGACTTAAGATGCCGGCTTAGCAGCACCCCCTTTGGGATTTGGACAGTGATTTTAGCATTATGAATCTGGCTTCTCTCTTCTGGGTGGTACTAGGCAATGAATAGAAAAAAATGTACCTAACTTTAAATTTTGTTAATTGAAGTAAAAGAAATTTTCTTTTTGATTCCATGTCTTGGCATGTCCTTGGGGCCTTTTATTTTCTCTAGTAGAAGATTGAGTAATTTGCATTAACTAAAGAATTTAGATTTTTAGAATTTAGAATTTGCATTAAACTAAGAATTTTGGTGGGTTTTTTTTGTTTGCTTGTTTTTTAGGAATAAGACTTTAATCCTTGGATATTGTTGACGGGAGTGTAAAACTCCTCAAAAAATTAAAAATATAAATTACCACATGACCCCGCAACCCCACTTCTGGGTTGAAAACAGGGTCTCAAAGATACATCTGTCCGCCCATGTGCCTGGCAGCATGATTAAAACAGCCAAATGGTGGAAGCAGCCCAAGTGTCCATCAGTGGATGAATAGATAAATAAAATGTGGTCCATCCATGCAGTGGGATATCATTCTGCCTTAAAAGGAAGGGAGTTCTGACACCTGCTTTGGAAGAACCTGAGGACACTATGTTGAGTGAAATCAGCCAATCACAGAAGGACAAACCCTGTCTGGTTCCACTTCTGTGAGGCACCCTGAGTAGACAAATTCATAGAGACACCCTGGTGGTTACCGGGCTGGGAGAGGCGGGAGTGAGGGCAGAGTCTCAGTTTGGGAAGATGAAAGGCGTTCTGGGGACGCATGGTGGTGATGGTTACATAGCAACATGAAAGTACTTTAGTACCACTGAACTGTGCACTTTAAAATGCTTAAAATGGGGGCGGCCAGGTGGCTCAGTTGGTTAGAGCGCGTGCTCTGAACAACGGGGTTGCTGGTTTCCACATGGGCCAGTGAGCTGCGCCCTCCACAACTAGATTGAAGACAACGACTTGAGCTGAGCTGCCACTGCTGGTTCGATTCCCACATGGGATGGTGGGCTGCGCTCCCCTCCCTGCAACTAGACTAAAAACAGAGACTGGGTTTGGAACTGATGGGTCCTGGAAAAAACACACTGTTTCCCAATTAAAATAATAATAATAATAATAATAATAATAAAATGGTTAAAATGGTAAATTTTGTGTTATGAATGTTTTACCACAATTAGAAATAATCACAAATTAATGAAATTAGAAAATACAAATCAAATAACTTTTTAGAAGTGTAAAAGTGTACATGTTAATTGCAGAAAAGTTTAAAAGATATCTGTATGCACACACACACACACACACACACACACTCACACACTCACATGCATTTTACAAAGTTGTGTGGTATTGCATCTCCAGCTTTGTGTCTTGTTTATTGTTCTAACACGTAAGAACCCCATCTTTACCTTTCACTTCTCGGATCCAGGTTTGCAATGGTCTGGAGCAGCCGAGGAAGCAGCAGCGCTCCGATCTCAATGGACCTGTGGATAATAACAACGTCCCGGAGGTAATTTTTCCAAGGATGAGGGTCCCTGGCTGGGGGCTCAGTGTTGGGGCTGCCGCCTTGTCGTGTCTGCTCACCCTCCATGATGCTGTCGTCCCCTCCGGTGCCTGTGGGGCCGGAGTCCAGGTCGAGCAAAGGTGGGTGTCCCATAGCGGGAGGATTTGATGGCCCTGGCCGTGGAGGAAGAAGGACAGGCCTCCACCACGTGTGTTCATGTTTTGGCGATGGCATGGGGGGGGGGGGGTCACTGGTGTGCCCTGCTTTGACGGAAACTTACTCTGCCCCATTATCTGACATGTTCTAAATCCCGGTTCCTCTGTCAGTAGTGACACCACCAACATTTGGGGCCACATAATTCTTCATTGTGGGGGGCTGTGCTTTGCACTGTAGGATGTTTAGAAGCATCCCTGGCCTCTACCCGCTAGATGCCAGCAGCACTCCCCCCTACCCCAAGTTGTGACAACCAAAAATGACAATGTCAAACAAGGTTTGACATAGCCAAACTTTCCCTTGGGGACAAAAATCATCCTGGTTGGGAACCACACGATTTTAAAGAACAATCCTATATAAACTAATATTGCCACAGTGGACGTTACTAAAATGAGGCCAGAAGCACGAATTCCCCTTTTCTGGATGCCATAGTTTGGAGATGTTCTGACGTTGACGAAAGAACTATGGCCACCCATAGAGTGGTGTCCAGTCTCCTTCGTGCCCTGGCCATGTGTTTCTTTTTCTTTTTTTCATATTTCCTAACAGACAAAGAAGGTGGCATCGTTTCCAAGTTTTGTGGCTGGTAAGTGACTCCAAATTTTATCTCTCAGGGGGCAGTTGCGTTTTTAGGTCAAAAGCACATGGTGCTGTTATGTTTGATTTTCTCCTGCAAAGCTGGTTCAGAAAGCATGATGAAGACAGCACTCTAACAGGGCAGGATGCCTGCCCATCTGATCCTGTGAGCGCCGCCTGCACGCTTACTGGGTGGGTGGGGGTGGGGACCCAGTTGATTAGGGAACGGTCGACCATCACATCTAATTACACCCTCAGTAATGGCCTCACACATGACACTGATGACTGAATTAATAGATTGAAATGCGTCTGTACAAGCAACTAATTGCCATCTAACACTTTTGGTTGGGGTGGGTATAATTGCATCAAATTCGAGCTGTTTTTCTTTTTTTAGACTCTTCATTTTCCTCCAGTCGCCTGTCTTTTCTGAGGGGGTTAATGTGCCATGTCAATATTCAGTAAAAACTCCAACGGGTTGATTTGTTCTGTGTGGAGGTTTGGGGTGGGGAGCACGCCGCTTGACTCTGAAATGCACCAGGTAACCTTGGGGGCTCCTTTACAAGGTACCCCAACACCACAGCCTCTAATGTAGGATCTTTCTCTTGGCCAGAGAGTGTTTCCTATCCTTGCTAATGTGCTATAATAAATAGTGTGAATTTTATTCATTCTTTTAATATGCTGGTAATTCATTTTAATGAATATTTATGGTAGCAAAGTAAATAAATCTTCAGAAATAAATGACTTTAAACCTTTCTTACCCTGATTTTATTTTGACAGTGTGCTCTTGCATTCTTTTTTTTTTTTTTCATTCCCATCCCTCCTCCCCCTTGGCAACCATCAGATTATTCTCTATATCTATGGGTCTGTGTCTGTTTTGTTTTGTTTATTCATTTGTTTCGTGTTTTTAGATTCCACATATAAGTGAGATCATATGATATTTGTCTTTCTCTGTCTGACTTATTTCACTTAGCATAATACCCTCTAGCTCCATCCATGTTGTCACAAATAGTAAGATTTCATTCTTTTTTATGGCCGAGTAATATTCCATTGAGTATATGTACAACCACTTCTTTATTCAGTCATCTATTGATGGACACTTCGGTTGCTTCCATATCGTGGCTATTACTAGTGATACTGCAGTGAACATAGGGGTGCAGATATCTTTTCTAATTAGCATTTTGGATTTCTTTGTATAAATACCCAGAAGTGGAATTGCTGGGTCATAAGTTAGTTCTATTTGCAATTTTTGGTGGAACCTCAATACTGATTTCCATAGTGGCTGCACCAATCTGCAGTCCCACCAACAGTGCATGAGGGTTCCCTTTTCTCCACAGCCTCGCCAGCACTTGTTGTTTATTGATTTATTGATGATCCTATTGTGACAGGAGTGAGGTGGTATCTCATTGTGGTTTTGATTTGCATTTCCCTGATGATTAGTGACACTGAGCATCTTTTCACATGTCTATTGGTCATCTGTATGTCCACTTTGGACAAATGTCTATTCAGGTCCTCTGCCCATTTTTTATTGGATTGTATATTTTTTTGGTGTTGTATGAGTGTCTTATGTATTTTGGGTATTAACCCCTTATCAGATATATCATTGGAGGATAGCTTCTTCCATTCAGCAGGCTGCCTTTTTGTTTTGTTGATGTTTCCTTCGCTGTGCAAAAACATTTTAGTTTGTTGTGGTCCCCTTTGTTCATTTTTTTCTTTTGTTTTCCTTACCTGGGGAGACATATCAAAAAAGATATTGCTCAGAGAGATGTCAGAGAGTTTACTGCCTGTGTTTCCTTCTAGGAGTTTTATGGCTTGGCGTCTTACATTTAAGTCTAACCCATTTTGAGTTTAGTGTTGTATGTGATGAAGAAGATGGTCCAGCTTCATTTTTTTTGCATGTATTGGTCCAGTTTGCCAACACCACTTATTTTATTTTATTGTTTTTTAATTTTTTTTTTAGCTGAGCCATCCTGCCACCTGTTGGCAGCTCAGTGGCTGCTCAGCTCGGGCTGGACTCGAACTGCTGTTGCTCAGAGCTCAAACTCTTGAGCGAGCTCTTAACCAACTGAGCCACTCGGCCAGCCCCCAACACCACTTATTGAAGAGACTGTGTTTACCCCATTGTATATCCTTGCCCCCTTTGTTGTAGATTAATTGACCACATAAGCGAGGGTTTACTCCTGGGCTCTCCATTCCATTCCATTGATCTGTGTGTTTTTGTGTCAGTCCCATAGCGTTTTGATTATTGTAGCTTTGTAGTCCACACGAAAATGACTTTTCTTTTTCACAAACAACATTTGCTCTCATCCTCAGGACTCCATTAACTCAGCATGAATAGGGACTAGACGTGTTTTCAATTAGGAACTTCATTCACTCCTGGAGGCTTGTTATGATTTCCCTGAGTGGTGCTTGGATCAAGCCAAGAGCCACAGGAATTAAAAATGAATTCTACCTTGGAAATACACATGGAAATTTTCCCTTTTCTGTCTGCACTTTTCTCCTTCGCAGTGGAAGCCACTGGTAGATTTCTTGTGAGTTCTTCCAGAAACTTCCTGGCCATATACAAGCCTACATCTAGACCGTTTGCTTAAAATAGACATTGCACTGGCCACATGGCTTTTTCATTTCTTGGTAGATCATGGAGACGACAGCCATACATCCCCTTAATTATTTAAGTGGCAGCTCAGGATCCAGTGGCTTCACGTACGATGCGGTGTTTATCAGCTTGCAGGTTAGTGCAGCCGCGAGCTGCCGCATGGATGCCTTTGTGTTCAGGCGTCCTTTCAAAGAAGCAGTTTCTTTATGAAGCAGGGTTACAGGCCAGCAGCACGCTGACTGGGATGGAGATGGCCAGGTGGCCTTCCCCATAGGGGGACAGGTTACACGGCATCTGAGAGTGCTGGCTCACCAGCCCTGTGTGCTAGCCAACCATGTGGTCGTGGCCCCTGGCTGATGGGTGAAAGGTTTTAACTTGTTCACTTCACATGTGTGTGCGCTTTCCATCAGGAGTGACACCCAACACTGTTTCATATTTAGAAACCATTTGTTTCTTTTCCTTGGCGGTGTCTGTTTCCTTTGCCTGTTCCTCTACTGGATTTTTGGTTTTTCTTATTGATTTGTACTACTCTTTACATATAAAGGAAATGAGCCTTTCGATTTATATTGCAAACACTTTTCCCACGTTACCGTTGTCGTATAATTTTGTTTGTACAGTTTTTGCTTTGCCGAACCTCTTCTGTAGTCAAATGTATTCACCTTTTTTTCTTTGAGGTTCCTGAGTTTTTGAAATTAGTATAACCTTCACCCTCCTAAGATTATTGTTTTAAATAAAGCTTTATTCTAGCACACTTATGATTTTACTTTAAATTATTTAAATGTTTGACTTCTCTGGAATTTATTTTGGTATATGGATTAGAGGAAGAGTTCCATTTTAAGCATTTTATTCCACCAGCTAACGAGTTGTGCCCAAACTGTTCAATGGATCTTTTCCTCACTGACTTGAAATGCTGATTTCATCATACACTAAATTGCCATGTGCACCTAGGTCTGTTTCTGGGTCTCTTATGATGATTCGCCCTTGTAAGTTCCAGAGTTAGGCTGCTCTGTGTACCGGGGATTTATGGCATTTTATTCCCTGTTACGGCCACTTCGTGTCCTCGTCACCATCCTTCCTGTTCAGAAATTCCCTGGATCCTTTTGTATGTTTAGTTTTTCATAAAAACTTTAGAATCAGCTTATCTCGTTATCCTATTGGCATTTTGGTGGTATTTTACTTCATTTAATACATGCCAGGCAGTAAATTTATTTATGTAAGGGGAAAGTGTCAGCTTTACAATACAGAATCTCCTCATCACAGTGGGACTTGTTTCTATTTATTCACACGTATTTATCTTCATCAATAAAATTTTATTCACACAAATCCAGCACACATGTTATTAGTTTTTCCTTGGGGATTTGTTCCCTTTTATTGTTTTCATAAATCATATCTTTTGTTTCATTTTTTTTCCTCACTTGTTGCTATTTGTAGCTACAAAGAAAGCTATTGATTTTTTCATCTGTTAAATTTGAAATCACTGCCTTTGTGAATTCTCTTATTTTTTTAAATAGATTTTTAGTTGTTTTTCTTGGCCCCCAATGAGCTTCTGGTTTTTCTTGGCATATAATCATGCCATCTGCAAATAAGAATGATTTTTGCTGCTTCCTTTCTTGTTTTCTGTTACGGTTTCCTCCTGTCTAATTGGGTGGGGGAGAGTGCAGGGAACAATGTACTACAGAATATACAATAGTGACATTAAAAAAATGACACCTTTTGAAAGATCTGTCCATTTAATTATTTTATCACAAACATTTCAAACATATATACAAGCAGAGAGAATAGTATAATGAATTTCATGTGCTTTCACCAGCTTTAGTATCTACCCACTCGTGACTGGTGTTGATTCATCTACAACCCCCCCACACACACACCCTCTCCAGATTATTCTAAAGCAAAACCTCAGACCTCACTCATATCCCTTCTTTAAATGTTTCAAACATGTATCTCTAAAATAGAGACTCTATTAAAACAAAATTCATTCCAAGACTATCATCGTAGAATCAAATTCATGTCAATACTAAAATAAAATGACCAATTCCACGTATCATTAACCCCCAGTTAGCACTTACATATCCCCACTTCGTGCTTGTTTGAAGGGGGTCCAGATACGGGCCATCCTTTGAGATCGGTTGATGTATTTCCTGATTCTCTTACGTCTCTTGCTTTATCAGTTCTCCATCTGTCTCTTTTTTTCTCTCTCTCTCTTACAATTGTGTGGTTGCCGTTGATGGAGTTATAGAAGAATCTGTGTCATTTGTGCTACAGAATTCCTTGCAGTCTGGACTTTGCACCATGGTCCTTGGTCCTCCGAATCCTGGAAAATAATCTGGGTTTTAGATAGAGAGAGGCTTGATCAGATTCGGTTTGGTCGTTTGGGGCCAAAGACCTTCGTAGATAGTCTTGTTCTATCTATGTTC